TTATTGTCAGTGAAAGCATAAACATCTATCTTCCCCAGGAGAACTATCACCCTTATCATGCAACCAATAGAAAATTAACGGGTTGACCATACCTGAAAAAGTTTTAGTGCCTTTACAAGTCCGCCGACTTCATTCTTCAGAGAGAAAATGACAGACGCTCGTCCCTTTTCGGCCACACTGTCATTGTTTTCCTTGTTGTCTTCGATCTTCGTATAATTTGATTTGTTGAACTAGAAGAGACAATCGAAGAAATTAACAATATCAATACTGACTGTACAGTATGACTGTATACTGACTGTACAGCCGGCTACCTACACACTACCTTCACTTCCTTTCCTTTACATTCACACAGTACCTTGTGAGATTACAAAGCCAACAGCAGCTTGCAGGCTCAGGTCACAAAGCTGACATATGAAAGTGAGGATAATTCTTTCTTTTAAATAAAGTGACAGTTTTTTCCAACTGAGTCCAATGAGATTTTAAAATGACAGTCACATGACCGGAACCAGAGATCCTTATCTTGGTGTTAAACTTTGTAGAATAAACCTTATCGCAAAAATGCTCCTTGACTCTGCAACTCAGGCAATTAAATATCTGGGTAATCAAATGACATTATCACTCATGCGTCTGTTTATTAAACCAGTAAATGTGACTTTCCCCAAACATCCTCCGGCGGTGAATCAAACACTGTCATGTAAAACAAATACACGTGAAAAGTTCACACGCAATGTCCTTCACGTGGCTGTTTGGCTGCCTTTCTAGCGAGACCTAATAGGCAGCCCAATGTCCAACTGAAGGAGCACACACGGTGGGCTGACAACTCTGCTGGATTTCCCTCTCTTTGGAGAGATTTCCTCTCACTTCCTGTTGTGGCTATTGGAAAGGAAGTGAAGGGAAATCACCCCAGTGGGATACAGATGACAAAACAAGACGATGGGGGTTATAACCTTCCCTTACTCTATCCAAAACGAAAAAAATATATACTTTATGAAAACTGCATAAAGTGAAACATTATAAGAAATATACTGGATACAATTTAAATACAATTTAACCTTCTGCAATTGCTTTTATACTAGATATCCCCCCCAACAAAAATAATATTGATTATTGCCTGCACATCCAGCTACCTATGTGTCATTGATATTCACAAAGTCATGACATGCATTGTGACTTTACAAAAGCCAACTGCAGCTCATATGTCAAGAAATGTGCAAAAACATTTTGATATTGCACCCACGGCACCCGCATACCTGGAAACCCAACTAACATTGTCAATAGATCTTCTGCAATCTTTAATAGACTTAAACCAGGGGTGCACAAATGAATATGGAATTCGGGAGCCCGTCTGTCCAATCCATGAGCCAGCAGGATTTTTTTTTAGGAGCTCCATTGACAACAATTAGAGAAAAACCTCAAAAATAGGTGCCAACTGTCATTTTTAAGGAGCATCAGCAACCTGGCTCCCATTATGTGTCCAGCCCTGACTTACAACATACACTGAGTGGCCAGATTATTATGAGCACCCCATCAGCACTTTGTTGGGCCGCCTCGTGACTCCACAAGATGATGAAAGGTGATGCAAGGAATCTGACACTGCACTGTTGCCCTTCTGTTGTCTTGTACCAGTCTTGCCACTCTCCGTTCTGCCCTAACATTGACTAGTCGCTGACGGCCACAATTCACACGTTCAGACCCAGATTTTCGTCTGACAGTCCGGTCTTTAAACACTTTAACAATGAGCCGCTCTTGAACATTTAAGGTGGGAAGGTGGGGGGGGGTGGCTAGCACCTGCAATACGCAGCTGCAGAGGAGACATTACAGCTTCAACATCTGTTGGCTTAGAACACACATCATAGACCTGGTCAGAGGCGTATCTCACACATAGACATTGGAGAGGAAATGGATACAAAATAAGGGTAATAAATATTATGGACAGAAGTTAATGATTATCATGTTTGCCGCGGAGGTGGAGGAAAGCTGGAGAAGCAGCAGGACGGTAGAGCTGGGATGAACTGCAATGACCTTCTTAGCCTGTCTAGAGACACGATCATGTATAATCCTAAGGCAGGCTGGGGAAAAAAATATTCCAGCCCTGGTAGCCGGCCGGTCTGAGACGTGGCTCTGCCCAAATTATGTGTTCTTCTTACTAGATCAAGGATGTCCTGGAATTAAAGAACCGTTTGGAAGTCCACAAATGCTTCATCCATTTGTAGACTCATGGGTTGGAGATGCTATGTATAGGACTCTTGGGTTGGATCTGCTACGTATAGGACTCTTGGGTTGGATCTGCTACGTATAGGACTCTTGGGTTGGATCTGCTACGTATAGGACACTTGGGTTGGATCTGCTACATATAGGACTCTATCACTACTACTATGGGAATGTTGGCTGTCTTGAGTGTCCCAACTGAATGGTGATATGAGTCCCAGCAAGTACAGGAGACAGTATGATGAGTCTACTTTTGATAATATGAATGGCCAATGGAGATGGAGGCACAGCCCCCAAAATGTGTTGGCTTTGCAAACAATCTATCACTGGAATAAACTTGTATTTGTACTGAAATGTTACGGTGTGGTGCTTCAACTCTACATTTACTCATACACTTCAACTCTGACTTTCTATACATTTAGTCATCCCACGTACTTGCCCCAGAAAGTACAGAAGGTTCTGCCAGTTCAGATTTCCTATACTAGGGGTCGGCAAACTCCGACCTTGCCATCATGCCTCTGGGAGTCATGCATCATGCCTCTGGGAGTCATGCCTGTGGCTGTCAGAGTCTGCCAATGCCTAATAGTTGCACAATTTTATACCTTTCTAAGGGCAGGTGCTCTTTGAATTCAGATGCTTTAAAGTGGTCCCCCCAAATTCCTAATACCTGCCTTCTCCATGCTCCAGCACTGTCCTCCCCCACAGTCCAGCCCCCGAGGTCTTCTTCAGGGCAGAACTAAACTCTATCATTATGCCCATTTCCTGTGAGCCCAGACCCCACTAGAGGGCTTACAGTACTCCAAGACTGAGTGGTCCTTACTTATCATCATGTGTCCTGGAAGAATGGCCACCCCACATTAAAGGAAGAAAAGGAAGCGTCCATGACATTACTGGACTGACTAGAAGACTTGAAGAAAAAAGGTATGTATAGGGGTTTAAAAAAATACCATAGAGGCTATAGGCGGTGAGGGGAGGATCCTAATACTTATTTCTTATGCTCCTCCCCTCCATCTAGTGGCCATAACATGGTATTACAAGATTGCATTCCAAAATACATTCAACTTATAAAGAAAATAAGAATGTTCACTTGGAACAGAACGAGCGCACAGAACACACAGAGATTTGAAGGGCCAATGGCTCTGGGAATTGTTTAAAAATAAAACCCTAAATATTCACCAAAAGAAAAACTTCTTTCCTTGAAAAGAAGGATCCGGGCACTTCTGTTCATAATATCTTATTATATATTCATTATTTGAATTTTATGAACAGCTATAGTACAAAATGTTATTTTATTTATGACTCACAGGTTTGCATGGCGCACTGTTCAGCAATTGTTAACAATTAAATACATTATTAGGTTGTGATTTGGTAAAAATGTTTTTAATCCAGACGATGGCTTATTAAGCAATACACCCAATGCAGGCAGCTGTAACCCAAAGCAACCCATCAGTACTTCTCCAATCACAGATAGAGATAGATAGATAGATAGATAGATAGATAGATAGATAGATAGATAGATAGATAGATAGATATGTTTCATTTTTCCTAAAGGCACAGCAATAAAATATAGTTACATTTGAAATATTACCTCTTATTACAAACTATATCAATTCAATTTTGCATCTCAAGTCTGTTAAATGTATTGAAGAACGAGTTATATGAAGACATGGATGGAAAGCAGGATCCCAGGGAGGAGTGATAGGTTCGACATACCTCATTGTACGTCTGATTGTCATCAAAGCTTGTGTTCATGGAGTCGAAGGACTTCACTCTGCGGGGTCTCTCGGCTCTGCGGGTATACATGCCTCTCTGGAGGGGTCGGTGCTCTTTGGGTGCTGCTTGTCCGGAGAGCCG